GGTGTATTTCCTGAGCATCTACTTAGTCCTACTTCAGGGAAGCAATCCTGGGCTCAGTTCAAAGCCTGTCATCCCCCTGTGTCCTTCTCAGACATGGCCGTGGGATGGATAAGGTCCTCTCCAGGCTAAGAAGGAAGCAGACGCTTCCGGCTTGAGGTACAAGCGGACCTGGGCTGGCAAGAAGCTGAGCTGGGTTCAGATCTTAGAGGTGTCATGAACTCCACCCAGTTGAAGGGAGGGGGAAAAGACCTGGTGAAAGTATGGCAAGCCGGAGGGATCCAAATACTGCAGCTCATCCGGTGCTGGTAGCTCACACCTGTAATCCTAGATCAGAGGATCTAGGTTCGAAGCCAACCCCCAGGCAGGAAAGACCACGAGACTCTCATGGCTGACAAACCACCAGGAAACAGAAGTGGCGCTGTGGCTCAAGTGGTAGAGTGCTCGCCTTGAGCTGAAGAGCTGAGGGACAGCGCCCAGAGTTCAAGCCCCACGACTGACCAAAACTAACATAAGAATCATTGCTTGTGTGCTGGCCATCTGACAGAGAGATTTGCACCTGCTACACAGACAGCGGGTAGCAGCGGGTCCCTGAGCAGTTGAAATGTGGCCATCTCGGGTTGGAGAGACGGATGGAGCCCAACCCACAGAATGGATGTGAAGAACACGGCAGCAAGCTGGCGCCTGTGATCCCAGCTCCCTGCAGGGAGGCTGAGATCCGAGGATCGGAGCTGTGAGACTCTTCTCTCCAAGTCACCACCAAAACGCTGGCAGTGGAGCTGTGGCCCAAATAGCCAGCTTTTGAGAGAAAAAAGTAAAGGGATACAGCGTGCCCAGGCTCTGAGTTTAAGTCCCAGGCCCGGCACACACATGCGGACACACACACGCGCACGCACGCACACATACACACACACACACACACACACACACACAGGTAGACACGCAGTTTCTATGTTGAACATGTGCTATCGAGTGGCAGGATTCCAAGCAGGCCGACAGCTACACAAACAGAAACCCGCTTCCCCGCCTTGTTTGTTCTCGGGCCTCCATCTCTCCTCTTGAAACCTGAGAGCAGGAAGCAGAGTCCAGCTGAACCCCGATACTGAAAGGGGGGAGGAGGGTGCTGATGGGCATTGTCCCAACCATCATTCACAGGAGGATTCTTCTCTCTCGTGCACTCCATACAAGAGCTCAAGGCCACTTAGCTTGAGACTGATTTATTCGTGTTTTTATTTCTATGTAGTGAGTAATCGTTCATATTATGAACATGAATATGTTTTCCTGCATTTCAGCTGATCAAAAAGAAAAAAGATCAAAGGGGAGCTGGGTGCTGGTGGCTCGCTCACACCTGTCATCCTAGCTACTCAGAAGGCTGAGGTTGGAGGATCGCAGTTCAAAGCCAACCCTGGGCAGGAAGCTTTTGTGAGACTCTTCATCGCCAACAAACCATCAAGAGAAATCAGAAATGGAGCTGTGGCTCAAGTAGTAGGAGTGCTAGCTAGCACTGAGAGATAAAGATAAAAATGGCACCCAGGCCATGAGTTCAAATCTCAGCACTGGCATACATGCATACACATGCATGTATACACACATACAGACACACACACACATGTATAGCCAGGTGCTGGTGGCTCATGCTTGTCATCCTAACTTCTCAAGAGGCTGAGAGCTGAGGATCACAGTTTAAAGCCAGCCCGGGGAAGGAAAAGTCCATGAGACTCTTCTCTCCAATGAACCACCAGAAAACCAGAAGTGGCGCTGTGGCTCAAGTGGTAGAGCGCTAGCCTTGAGCTGAAGAGCCGAGGGAGAGCGCCCAGGCCCAGAGTTCAAGCCCCACAACCGACCAAAAAAAAAGAAACCCAACAAATAGCAAGTGGTGTTTGGGTGATCCATGCTTTCTGGGATACCTAGGCCATTGTGACCTCCTGTCCAGTCAGGGGAGCGTTTTATCTCGTTCCTCCCACAGGTAAAACCCAGTGGAAATGAGTCACCCCTGGGTTGCTTCGTGTCTGGGGAACGCGCCCACATCACGCGGAAACCCAGGGTGAGGTGGTCATTTTTCTTCTGAGTCATATTGGACGCAGGAGAGTGAGCTCATCACAGGAAAGTCCTGAGGTTTTCCTTACAAGAATCTAGAGCCCAGCCCTGGTGGCTCATGCCTGTCAGCCTAGCTACTCAGGGGTCTGAGATCTGAGGATCTCGGTTCAAAGCCTGCCTGGGCAGGAAAGTCCGTGAGACTCTTTATCTCCAATGAACCATCAGAAACCCAGAAGTGGAAATGTGGCTCGAAATGGTAAAGTGCTTACCTTAAGCACAAAAGCTCAGGGACAACACCCAAGCCCCTGAGTTCAAACCCCAGGACCAGCACAAGAGCAAAAAGAAAAAAACTGTCTTTATTGGGAGATTGTATCTCAATAAAGACACCAGTACAACCATGTTCATTGCTTCATTGTTCACCATAGCCAAGTTACAGCAACAGCCACAGAGGCTCTACAACTAATGAATAGATGGAGACAATGTAACATGCATGTGCACATAATGTACATGTATTATGCATAATTATATTACCTATAATTATGCTAATACAATATTGATTGCAATCATAATTTATAATTGATTACCATGACCATATAGTTAACATAATATAAATACAGGATTATAATTGGTCAAAGAAGTTATATATATATATATATACACACACACACATATATCTTTGACCAATTTAATAGTTTAATAAAATACCATGGCGCTGTCCCTGAGCTTCTGTCCGAGGGGGTGGAGCCTAAGACCATGGGGACGGGTGAATGGGGAAGAATGAGGAAGCAGGGTCTATGAGACATTGATAGTCAACATACACACTAAATGAGTAAGGGCACGAAGGAGAGACTTCTCAGGAGAGGTAAGAATGGCAAAGAAACACAGGAGGCAGAGCTCATCATCCCTGGCCAAAAAGGAAATGCAAATCAGAACAGCTCTGAGATTCCATCTCACCCCAGCTAGTCCATCAATGTCCGTGAATTCAAACAACAAATGTTGGCGGGGATGCGGGGAGAAACAAACGCTACTGCACTGTTGGTGGGAATGTAAACTAAAACAACCAGTCTGAAGGTCCCCCAAAAAAACTAAACAAAGACCCTTCCTACGACCCAGCCATACCACTCCTGGACATCTACCCAGAAGATCATGAGCCAAAATACTATAGACACTTACACAACCATGTTCATTGCTGCACTATTCACAACAGCCAAGTCATGGAAACAGCCCAGGTGCCCCACCATAGATGCATGGTTCCAAAAAAATGTGAAATTCTACAAGCCATTAGAAAGGATAATATTGTGCAGTTTGCAGGGAAATGGATGGACCTAGAACAAATCTTGCTAAGAGAGGTGAGCAAAGCTCAGAGAGATCAATGGCATACATTTTCTCTCATAAGTAAAAGCCAGATCTAAGCTGTAACTGGACATGATAAATTATACAGGACTCTACACATTCACACATAGTGGGAACAAAGGAAGATGCTCTTAGGAGGGAAACACAAAGGCACAATGTCTATGTGCCTCTGATCATACAAAATCACTCACCAGATGCCAGCAGCTCACGCCTGCATCCTAGCGACTCAGGAAGCTGAGATCTGAGGATCGCAGTTCAAAGCCAGCCCAGGGAGAAAAGTCCCCATGAGACTCTTATCTCCAATGAATCACCCAAAAACCAGAAGTAGTGCTGTGGCTCAAGTGGTAGATCACCAGCCTTGAGCACAAAAGAGACTCAGGGACAGCGCCCAGGCCCTATAAGTTCAAGCCCCATAACTGACAACAACAATAATAACTACTACTACTACTCCAGCAAGCAAGAGGGTTTTTTCTTTTTATCTTGCTTATCTGTCTTTGGAAGGGGAACAGAAAGGGATGGGCAAAGAGTGAACACTGCAGCAGTAGAGATTATGTGAAAAATGAACTATACAACTTGTGGGTGGGGATGGGAGAGGAAAAATGGGAGAGAGCGAGGGAAGAGGTGACACTATCCAAAAAGACGTGTATTCATCAATCGACTTATAAAACAGCCTCCCCTCTGCACAACACCTTAACAACCACAATAAGACAATGTTAATAATAAATCATCGTACGAATGTGAAAATGGAGCCAGGCTGACTTGAGGGGAGGGGAGGGGAGGGGAGGGGAGGGGGAGGGGGACGAGAGAGGTGGAGGAGAACCATGGGAAGGGGTAACACTGATCAAGAATTCCAAGCACAAGACCCTGAATTCAAACTCCAGTACCACCAAAAAAAAGAAAAAAAAAGAAAAAATAATGACACATTATATAATTGTCTTCTTTCCAGGATTTCAAGGATGGTTCGACATACGCACATATTGTGCATGCGTGCGTGTTGTGTGTGTGTGTGTGTGTGTGTGTGTGTGTGTGTGTGTGTGTGCACACATGCCGATCCTGGGACTTGAACTCAGGGCCTGAGCACTGGCCCTGAGCTTTGATTGCTTTGATTCAGAACCTCACTGATGTTCCGTCCCCCGGGGCTAGCTTCGAACCTTGGTCCTCAGCTCTCAGCTGGGATTACAGGCGTGAGCTACTGGCCCTGGGCACACAGACAAACCTTCAGGAAGGTGACAGCACACAGATCTCCCTGCTCCCTTGCAGGGGGGGGGGGGCGCGGTTGTCAGCACCTCCGTCTCCCTCCACAGAGGGGAACCCAGGGTTAATCAGGAAAGAAAACACCCCGAAAAGATAAACAGTGAGCCAAGTATACCTATGGTGGGAAACAAACGGCTCTTGGTACCATGTTGAGGTGATTATCTTAACCCAGCTAGATAAAGCCACCAGGGGGAGGGGGAGGGGAGGGGGGCAGGACCAAGGTTTCCCTCCCTCCGTGCTGTGGGGTGCCGTGTGCAAAAGAACACAACCAGCCTGGCCCAGCAAAACGCCACCCCCGAGGCCAGGCGTGCTCAGTGTGTCTGCGCCCTCGGTCCTGTGGGCTTGGACTGGATGCCATCATGTCTGTCACCATGTGTCAGGGCCTGGGGTTTGTGGTGGCTGTCCTAGGCCTGGCTGGGGTCATCGCGGCCACCTGCATGGACCAGTGGAGCACGCAGGACCTGTACAACAACCCCGTGACCGCCGTGTTCAACTACCAGGGCCTGTGGCGGTCCTGCGTCCGGGAGAGCTCGGGCTTCACCGAGTGCCGGGGTTACTTCACCCTCTTGGGACTGCCAGGTAAGGGCCCCAGGGATCTGGGGGGGGGGGGGGGGGACTAGCGGCGGATCGGGGATGGCAGGTGCCAAGAGAGCACTGGAGCAAGAGTCTCTGCGGCCCACCTTGAGTGAGAACGGCAGCGAGAAGATGAGGATCGTACTGTTGGGGGCCTCTGATCTGTTTCTGGGGACCGTGTCTATGTCCTGACCTCCCCCCTTGGCACTGTTTTTAGGGGAGGGGGGGCTCCCCTGAGCAAGCAGTCACGGTAGAACTGAGACAGAGAAGCCCGGCATTGGCGGCTCCCGCCTGACATCCCAGCTCCTCAGGAGGCTGAGATCGGAGGATCGCAGGTCGAGGCCAGCCCCAGGAGAAGGAAAAGTCTGTGGGGTTCTTATCTGCACGAACCCATAACCGGGGTCTCCTGAAAGGTGGTTATTACTACGTAGAGCGGGTGGGCAGTGTAGAAGAAAAGGAAGCGAGAGCTGGCAGAGGCGGCCGGACATCTTTCCCTAGGGCAGAGGACAGGGTGACCTTGGAGGGACAGGATTGGGCCGGGGATGGTGCTCAAGTCCACACGAGGTGCCAGGCGCTCCACAAAGCGGTGTTTGTGCTTTTGCTTGTTTGTGGAACATCATAAAACCAGGAGAGCAGGCAGAGGCAATATAACTAGGTGACCGAGACAGAAGGACCCCGCGTCAAACACAAAGGACCAGATCCCGTCCGTGGGCCAAGCCTTTAGTCCCGGCAAAACCGGAGACCTAGACAGCTCTGAACAAGAGGGAGGCTTGGCCCTGAACCAATGCCACCTCCAATGCCTGTGGGGACGCGGGCACACCCTGCTCCCCGGAGAGATGACACCGGCAAAGCAGGTGCCGGTACTACAGGAGGCAGCTACCCTACAGGATTTTGTGCGGCCTGCCTGGTGATCCTAGGGCTTAATGTCTGTCTTGAAGATAATTGAGGCCAAGCACCTCTAGGAAGTCTGCAGACCGCGCTCTCTCACCCGGGGCCCAGCTCTACAGCCACACCCAGACTTCCTAGGGTGGGTCCCCAAAGACAAGAGCACCCCATGTTTGACCGAGGAAGAGAGGGACAGGGTGACCACCATACTCCAAGACGTACACAGGAGTTTCTTTGTTATACTTGCTCTTAGAGCTTGTGTGAGTGAATGTGAGAGAGACAGACAGACACTGAGAGACAGGGAGAAATACACAGGCAGACAGACAGACAGACAAGAGCTCACGACTCAACTTCTGTAAGTATTTTTCAAATAGAATATTGTAGGAGGTGTGGGGGGGGTTCAGGTCCTGGGGTTTGAACTCAGGGTCTGGCGCTGTCCCTGAGCTTCGTTTGCTCACAGCGAGTGGTGCTCTTCCCCTGGAGCCACAGCTCACAGTGGTTCATTGGAGATCAGAGTCTCCCAGACTTTCCTGCCCGGGGCTGGCTTGGAACCGCGATCCTCCGATCTCAGCCTCCTGAGTAGCTAGGAGGACACCCAGGCGTGAGCCACCGGCGCCTGGCTTCAGATTTTTTTTTTTTCTGATCCTGAAATTTAGCATAAAAGCATTTCACAGGGAGAGGAGAGGAGAGGGAAATGCCAGGCGTGAGAACCCATCGCTCCGGAATCAACTATTCATTGTTGTTGTCAGCCTATCCTTTGGGTGACAACACAGCCAGCGTAGGCAGTGGTTGGAAGGTGCGTGCGCTACACGGAGCCTGGCTCCCCGGCCTTCCTAAGAACTCAGAAGCCTGTCTCTTCTTGGAATTAGAGACTCTGCCTACAGGGAGAGTGTGCCAGAATCTCTCCACCCTGATTGGCTCATCTCCGCTCACTTCCTCTAGCTGTCCCTCCCCCTCTTTTCCTGTCGGCCATCGAGCCTCACTCCCAGGACTCCCGGGTCTCCAGACCACGTTCTTTAGGCCATCTTACCCTTGCTTCTGCCTTGATCTGGCTCCTCTAGTTCCACACTGACCACAGAGTGTGTAGTGTGCAAATGAGGGCCTGGGCGAGGGCGAGGCCTTCCCCATTGTGCGTTCTGTTTACTGGGAGGAAAATGAGTGGGTACGGCCCAGATAACATTGAGAGACCCAAAGGGCCAGGCTCGTGGGGCTCACTTCCTGGTGAAGCTGCGGTTGTTAGCCACTGAAGCGTGAGTGTGTGGTGTGCGTGGGTGTGGGTGGGTGTGTACTCACATGTATTTCAGGGCCTTGAAGTCTAGATTTGAGAAGATCTAGTTAAAAGGGCTCTGAATACAGAATCCAGATTATCTATCCATCCAGCTATCCATCCGTCCCATGCATCTATCCATCCATCCCATCCATCCATCCATCCACCCATTTATCCATCCATCCACCCATCCCTCCATCCATTTATTCATCCCTCCATCCAGCTTTCCATCCATCCATCCATCGCCGCAATATAGCTATATAGAGCTAGATATCTCCACATCCTGTATCCATACCTCCTGTGGTTGTATTATGTGGCTGGCTTTGGTGATAGTCATAAAAGGACTGTAGCATCATCAACAAGGACTGCCCAGCTCTCATCCTATGAACAGAACAAAACACAAGCCAGGCGCCCGTGGCTCCTGCCTGTCATCCTAGCTACTCAGGAGGCTGAGATCTGAGGATCGCGGTTCAAAACCAGCCCGGGCAGGAAAGTCCCTGAGATTCTTATCTCCAGTGAACCACCAGAAAACTGGAAGTGGCGCTGTGGCTCAAGTGGTAGAGCGCTCGCCTTGAACTGAAGAGCTGAGGGACAGCGCCCAGACCCAGAGTTCAAGGCCCACAACCAACAGAAAAAAAAGAAAAAGAAAGACCTTCTGTAGAGCAGGAATCCCCGGTCCTTAAAAGTGTGGGGGGGGCTTTTCTTGCCCCCTGCTTGCCTGGCATGGGGCAAGTCCTCTACAGTCGAAGTGGAAAGGGATGAGAGGGTGGGGAGTGGGTTTCACACCCTTATTATTTGGGGCATAAATCTAATGATTGGGGGGGGGTGAGCTAAGCCTGATCACATTTACCCTGTACGCTGGGCCATGGTGGGGTTCTATGGCGGCTGGGCCCCCCCAACATGGTAGGCAGAACCAGACCTGGGGTCCGGGGGGGGTACAGGAGCGGGAGGAGGGACACCCCGCGTCCCCTGGGCTGGCGGAACATTCCAGGCGACTGGGAGACCCAGAAGCAGCAGACTAAGGACTCTTGATGGCCTCTCCTCTTAACCAACGAGGGAGAGGGAATGTCATAATAATAACGCCCTTGAACCAGGAGCGAAACTGAAGCTATCTAAGGAAAACACCGCGAGCAAACACTGCAGCGGGCTGAGGGAAAGTGCGTCCACTCTCACACACACACACACGCGCGCGCGCGCACACACGCACACACACACGTGCAGGCGCATTTGCTGGGCGCACACCTGCGATCCAGAGGATCCCAGGCCCGCGTCTCCCCCCGAGCCATGGCGGTGTCCACCACCGCGTGCCAGCTGGTGGGATTCCTGCTGGCCGCGTGCGGGGTGGCGGGGTGCATCGCGGCCGCGGGGATGGACACGTGGAGCACGCAGGACCTGTACGACAACCCCGTCACCGCCGTGTTCCAGCATGAGGGGCTGTGGAGGAGCTGCGTGCAGCAGAGCTCCGGCTTCACCGAGTGCCGGCCCTACTTTACCATCCTCGGCCTCCCAGGTAGGAGGATGGCGGACAGGAGGCCCTGAGGGGGGCCGGGGAGAGGATCTTGCTGGTTCTGGCAGAGGTGGGGGGGGTGGAGGTTTCAAGAGTCTGGGCTGCAAAGGATGGGGAGCCAGGCTGGTGGGGAGGGGGAGACTAATCCTTTCTTAAAAGAGCCGGCTCCCACCTGTCATCCTAGCTCCTCAGGAGGCTGCCAGGGCAGGAAAGGCCGTGAGGCTCTTCTCTCCCATGAGAGCTCTTGTCTTTGCTTTTTTGCCACTCCTGGGGCTTGAACTCAGGGCCTGGGACTGTCCCTGAGCTGCTTTGGCTCAAGGCTAGCGCTCTACCACTTGAGCCACAGAGCCACTTCCAGCTTTTTGCTTATGTGGTGGTGAGGAATGGAACCCAGGGCCTCACGCATGCGAGGCGAGCGCTCTACCACGCAGCCACCTTCCCAGCCCAGTTTCCTTTCTTTCTGTATTGGGTGGGGAAGAGCGGAGGAGCTGGGCGTTCACAGGCGTGAGCCACTGGTGGTGGTGCAGAGGCTAGACTGGTGCCTTTTTGTGCTGGTCCTGAGGCTTGAACCCAGGGCCTAGGCCTTGTCCCTGAGCTCTTCTACTTTAAGGCTGGCGCTCTAGCTCTTGAGCCACACAGCTCCCTGTCTGGCTGTTGGCTGTGTCTCGTGGAGGTGAGAGTCTCCCGGACTCTTCCGTCAGCCAGGCTGGCCTCGCATGGTGATCCTCACAGCTCAGTCTCCCTCCCAAGGAGCTAAGCCAAGATACCAGGTGTGAGTCACCGGCGTGCACACGTAGACTGGTCCACGTGAAGCGTTGAGGAAAGCCGGGTGAACAGAAGGATAAGGTTCTGCTCCCCCCCCAAAACAGCACAGCACCTCGCCTCTTGTGTTAAGGTTGCCAGTGTGGGCCCCTATGTGATACAGGGCCCTTCCTCCTCTTCTTCACCCCACTCCCCTCCCCCTCCCCCTCCTCTCCCCTTCCTCCTCCTCGCCGAAACCAACTCATTACTCATCCAATCATGCACTCAACAAACACTTGGGTTTTTTTTCCCCCCTGTGCCCACTGGGCCGCAGGCACTCGAGTTTCGGGGGGTAAAGTGTGAGTCAGCCCAGTGAGTATCAGCCGTTGCCCCAAACCAAACCTCAACAGCTCTGTGGCTGAACCCGGCAGACGCTTATTTCTGTCCCCGCGTGAAATCCACAGTGGGACTGCTGCTATTCGAGGATGTAGGGCAGGAGAAGCGAGTGGGGGGAGAGGGAGGGGAGACCCCCCCCAGGCTCCAACCACCCCAGCCTGCAGGTGAACATCTGCCACCTGTGCTGGCATCATGGTGACTAGAGCCAGCCAGGTAGCCTGCAAGGCATGGGAGGTGTGTGTGCGTGTGTGTGTGTGCGCGCGCGTGTGCATGTGTGTGTGTGTGTGTATACTGGCATACTGGGGCTTGAACTTGGGGCCTTGTGCTCCTGATTGGCCTTTGCACTAAAGGCGGGCGCTCTACCGCGTGAGCCATGCCTTCACTTCCGGCTTTTTGATGGCTCCTGAGCAATCGGAGCCTGGTGGTCTTTTCTTTCCCCCCTCCCGCCCCTCCCCCGGGGTTCAGCCTCCTGAACAGCTAGGATCACGGGCATGAGCAGAGGGGAGTGGAGGTGAGGCAGGAGGAGGAGGCGGCCAGCACCACTTTATATCCAGCTCTCCCCCCCCCCCGCCAGTGATGCTGTGCAAAGCCAAGCTGGGGGTGGGGTGGGGTGGACAGGGAAGAGGAGGGGGTGGGGGGGGAAGGAGGGAGAGCCACCCTGCTTAGTGAGCGGTTCCTGGGCACCGCGTGTGGACACGAGAGTCCACTAAATACCAAAGTCGAGGGGGAGGGACACGTTCCTCGGGACAAAGTGTCTAGACACTCACTGATAATCTACGATGGGGGGGGTGTGGAGGGGGGTGGGGGGGCGGAGGGGGTAGCCACCCGCCCTCCTGCAGGTCTAGCTCGGCCTGTAGATTAGAGATCGGAATGTCTGCGTGGAGGGAATGAGCAGAGGGAAGGGCTCAGGTGAAATGCAAGCACTAAAGCCACAGCAGGAAGAGGAGGAGATGGGGCAGCTGCGGGGCAGGGGCCTGCCCGAGCCGAGCCGGGGAGGCTCCCAGGGCCGCTGGGAGAAGGCACCTAAACCTCCCCCGGCTGGAGAGCGCGTGTCTGCAGAAGCAGCACGCACAGCATTTCTTCAGCAAGATAAGCTAGGTTGATGGGGCTGGGAGAGGAAAACCCTGCGGATACCGAGCCTGTTTTTTTTTAGTTCATGGTTCAAATAAGCCAAGCGGCTTAGCTCCCTCAGGATCGTAGTTCGAAGCCAGCCTGGGAGGAGGTAAATCCTGTAACAAACACCACTCTGATCTCCAAGAAGCTACCCAGCCCCCCCAAAAAAAAAAGCGGGACGGGGTCCTGTGGCTGGAGTAGGAGAGCACCAGCCCTGAGCCAGCTTAGAAACCTGGCTGTGTGAAAATCACCCACGTCGTTGTGAAAGCAAAGGAGGAAATACAAATCTGTAATAAAATAGAAAGCAGAGATGGTCACGGCGGCTCACGCCCGGCATCCTAGTTACTGGGGAGGGTGAGACGTGAGGATCGCGGTTCAAAGCCAGCCCAAGCTGGGAAATCCCGTAAGGCTCCTACAGTCTGATTAACCACTGAAAAGGTAGAAACGGGAGCCTGGCTCAAACGGTAGAACACCAACCTTGTGTGGAAAAAAGCTAAGGACAGCAAACGAACCCTTGAGTCCAAGCCCCAATAACACACACATACACACACACACACATGCACACGCACGCACACACACGCACGCACACACACGCACACACACCCATCATCTAGAAGGTAGAGATTATTTCTCATGAAACTTGGTACCTCCAACAGCCTGTGCCCCAAGGCTCTGGCCCCAGCTCTGAGCTCCAAAATGCTTGCAGAATGAGTACATGAACTCATGGATACGTGCACGCGTGGGTTCGTGTATCATTCCGAGCACACGTGGGTGATGAGGAAAGGGACAAGGCGCTTGCTCCCAGCAAGCTCCCCCCCCCGCACTCCGCCCCTTTGCCGAGTGGCCTAGACCCCAAAGGACAAGAACTGACCCACGGGAGTCCACGAGACTCCCATGACTGCGGTGATCTAAGTCTCTCCCGTGCGCCACCTGGGCCTTGGGTGGATGTCTTTTGTGATTTCCCACCATTCCCCGGCTCTTGGCCACGCCACGGATTGGTGTATGGATTGCTCGGGCGTGCCCAGTGTACCAACTCATGGGTGTGAGGGTGCTCTAAGGCCCGTCTCTCCTGTGTCTTTCCCCTCCGCCCCCTTCCTGCTTTGTCCCGCAGCCATGCTCCAGGCGGTGCGGGCCCTCATGATTGTGGGCATCGTGGTGGGCGTCATCGGCATCCTTGTGTCCATCTTTGCCCTGAAATGTATCCGCATCAGCAGCATGGAGGATTCTGCCAAGGCCAAGATGACGCTGACCTCCGGGATCCTGTTCATCATCTCAGGTTCGCGGGGTCTCCCCCCCTGCCTGCCACCACAACCCTCTCCCCCCCCCAAAAAAAAACGGGTTCAAGAGAGCGCTTGAAGCTCCAGCACCAGTGGATCGTGACTGTCATCCTAGCTACTCAGGAGGCTGAGATCGGAGGATCGCGGTTCAAAGCCAGCCCAACCCCTTGTCCCGCACGGAGTGGCGATTAGGTGACAGGAAGGGAATAATAGCCTGCCACCTGCGGGTCTACCCGGCACCCCTCTGCAGCTGCCGACAGACTGGTCCACTCTCTGCCCACAGGTGTGTGTGCAATTATCGGGGTGTCTGTGTTCGCCAACATGCTGGTGACAAATTTCTGGATGTCCACAGCCAACATGTATAGCAGCATGAATGGGATGGTCCAGACGGTGCAGACCAGGTAAGACAGACAGACAGACAGCCACAGACACAGACACACCAATGCTGCTCCACCACCAAGACCTGGGTAAGAAAGTCGATTAAAACGTGTGTCCCTTTAATGGGACTGTCAGCACCTGAAAGAGCAAAATTTATCAGAGGTAACCATGCCCCGATCGTAAATCAACCATCACCTATAAATTCATAAACTTCATTTCTGTGAGGTGTCCCCCCGGGGGTATAACCTGAGGCTGATCTGACATTCGCACTGAAATACAGCCACAGTTCCCGGGATTTATCTAACACTCACACACACGGGGGAGGGGGGGAGGAGGAGAGCTCCCCCCCCCACAGCAGTGGTAACCAATCAGGAACTAGTAACCTGGCATGCAAATAAGCATCCGTTGACAGCAACCTGTCTGAGGCAGGCGGGCCCACTGTGGTGACAACCAATCAGGAACTATTAGCCCAGCAGGCAAATGACACCAGTTGACATTAAGCTGTAGGGTGGAGGAGGGCCCATGGTGGTGGTGACCAATCAGGAACTATTAAACAATATGCAAAGGCACGGTATGCAAATGAACATCAGTTGCTAGGAAGCCATCAGGTGGGGAGAAGACCCACTGAGGTGGTGACCAATCAGGAACTATTAACCCAGTATGCAAATGAGTATCCATTGACAGCAAGCCATGGGGGAGGTCCTATTAAGCTGATGACCAATCAGGAACTATTATCTGGTATGCAAATGAACAGTATGGAAATGAGCATCCACTGACTGGAAGCTGGCTTGTTATAGGTGAAAACTTGAATGGAAAACGAACCAGGTGTAGAAAAGTTTAGAAAAGTTTCAGCCGGGCGCCGGTGGCTCACGCCTGTCATCCTAGCTACTCAGGAGGCTGAGATCTGAGGATCTGGGTTCAAAGCCAGCCAGGGCAGGAAAGTCCGTGAGACTTTGATCTCCAATAAACCATCAGAAAAACCAGAAGTGGTGCTGTGGCTCAAGTGGTAGAGCGCTCAAAAAAAACAAAAAACTCCAGTAAAAGGGGAACTGAGAGGCTGGGCCTGGCCAGGGCAAGTGGACGAATCTTCTAGAATCGAGGCCACTACCTTCACCCCATTGTGTCCCCGCCCAGGTACACCTTCGGCGCAGCTCTGTTCGTGGGCTGGGTGGCGGGGGGCCTCACGCTCATCGGAGGGGTATTGATGTGCATCGCCTGCCGCGGGCTGACGCCGGATGACACCAAGTGAGTTCTGGGGGTGGGGTCCTTCTCCCCAGGGGCTAGTCGTTCATTGAGCTTCCTCTGGTCCACGTGGGACAGTTACAGAACTACACGGGACTACGCCAGCCTATTAAGATACAGGAGGGAGGCCGGGAGCCTGTGGCTCACGCCTGTCATCCTGGCTCCTCGGGAAGCGGAGATCTGGGGATTGAGATTCGAGGCTAGCCCACGCAGGAAAGTCCCTGAGACTCTGATCTCCCTTGGAACACCTGAAAACCAGAAGTGGGGCCGTGTGGCTCAAGTGGTAGAGCGCCCCGGCCGTGAGCGCAGGTTCAGGCTGTGTGAGCGGCTCTTCTGTCTTGCTTGCAGCTACAAAGCCGTGTCTTACCACACCTCGGGTCACAACGTCGCCTACAGACCCGGGGGCTTCAAAGCCAGCACGGGCTTTGGGTCCAACACGAGGAACAAGAAGATGTACGATGGTGGGGCTGCCCGGGCCGAGGATGAGGTCCAATCTCAGCCTTCCAAGTATGACTACGTGTAGGACCCCAGGAGCCCCTGAGCCGCGCAGAGCACCCCCCCTCCAGAGACACCTCCCCCTCCCCCCTCCCCCAAGGAGATTGTATCTTCCTTCCTATCGCTTCTGACACAGTTGGACGTTAGACTTGACTTTCCACCGTCAAGAGCACCTGGCCAACCATTTCAAAGCAGCTCTGCCACATTCTTATTTATAAACTAGAAGCCGTAGATACACCTAGATGGCTAGAGAGATGAGAGTTAGAATATAGAGACAGATACACCGATGATCAGTAGATATTGATAGATGAGAGATGATAGACAGACAGACCAACAGATTCTAGAGCCTGATATACAGATTATCGATGAAATGATAGATAGATGATTGATTCTAGAGACTGTTACACAGATGATTGATAGAGATGGAGCAGAGAGGTGATAGATGGATGATAAAATTGTTGATCGATGTCACACGTCGCCGCCGCCATCTTCCATTTGTAATAGAACCTTCCTAAAACTAGCCATCAAATGTGGTCTGACTCCGTACCTGATACTTACATCACTTAGACAGACTTTACCTTCCTCCTACTTAATAAACCCCTTGATAATCTCTCCCCCAGATTACTCCCATGCAAATTGGGGGGGAGGGGAAGAAGAGACCGAGAGAGTAGAGCCAAAGCACCCCTTTCTGCTCTTTGGTTTTGCCCCCCCCCCGTCCCATCTTCACTACTAACAAAAACCTCATTGCGGTCGGATGCTACTAACTCCCGCCCGTCACCCTAGCTACTCAGGAGGCTGAGATCTGAGGATCACGGCTCAAAGCCAGCCCCAGTAGGAGAGTCCTGTAAGACTCTTCTCTCCAATAAACTACCCCCTCCCCCCCACCCAAAAAAAAAAAGCCTGACGTGGCGCTGTGGCTTCTGTGGTAGGGCCTGGAACACAAAAGCTCAGGGACAGCGGCCGAGGACCATCACCAAAAAACGAACGAATGCCAGAACAAATGCTAGGGGGAAAGCTATGCGGAAATCTCCCACCCCTGTGACCTGCATTTCCTTACACTGTGAGCTCAGGTTCGAGGTAACCACGCTTTTCTAATACATACGTTATCATAAATATATTTAACAATATAGGTGTTTTAGTGTCTGCCAACTCCACCGTGACCACCCAGCTGGCAGTGGGATTCCTTTAGTCTCGGTCACAGCTGTACCATGGCACAGATCCGGGCACACCGCCACGTGCAGGCTGAGCTCAAAGTTCCTGGCACAGACACGCACGCACACGTGCACACACAGTCACATCAAGAATCCCAGTGGTCCCAAAGCCTCCAGGGAGCTACGCCGGAGGCCCGAGGGTTTCTGTGGCTGCCCCGTCTTGTGGCTCGCGTGGGCACTGAGTGTTGGCCACGCTGCGTGACGTGACGATTAAACACGCTGCTGTCTTCCGTGGGAACGGCTAATGTTCTCTTCTCTCCCCCCACCATGGCCTGGGGGCCCGGAGGCCACGCGGGGCTGGGGACGGGGGTCCACTCCATGGGTGGATGGGGTGCATGGCCCAGACAGGGCCACATGTGCGTGTCAGGGCCACACCAGAGTCCAGACACATGTGTGTGCACACCACGGCCCATCTGGGAACCACTCGGTTCTCAGAGACAGCCGAGCACCCGAACCCCAGCTGCCCACCATGATCAACGCAGGCCAGACCCTCCTCAAGCCTGGGGTGGGGGAAACTCGGGGGGAACCCCCACACAAGGCCTGGGGAACCCCTACACAAGGCCTGGGGTTCCATACCCAGCAGTAAGAAAAGAGGGGGAAGAGGGCAGCGGAGGAGGAAAGAGGGAGGAGGTTAGAGAGGGGGAAGGTGGGAAAGTAGAAGGGGAGAGAGAGAGGGAGGGAGAGAGAGAGGGAAGAAGGGAAGAGGGAGGGGAAAGAGGGAGGAGGAGGAGAGGAAGAAGGCAGAGAGGAAGGAGGGGAAGAGGGAAGAGGGGGAGAGAGGGAGGAGGGAGAGAGGAGGAAGAGAGGAGGGGAGGAAAGGGAGGAGGGGGAGAGAGGAGGGAGAGGAAGGGGAAGAGGGAGGAGGGACAGGGAGAAGGAAAGGAAGAAGAGGAGAGGAAGAAGGGGGAGAGGAAGAGGGGAGGGGGAGAGGGAGG